TTATGGGTGCTGGTTCCAAGGTCGCTATCGAAGGATGACTTAAGTTTGGTGAAATGTGTCAACTAAACACCAGTGCCAGTGCAAATACCTAAGAGAGCAAGATGTAGTGAGTGGGCAATGCTTGCTGGTGTTGAAGGGAGCGGTAGCATTAATGCTTCCAATTTTTCCGTCAACGCTGAAGCGCGGCTTGACATAGATGCTTTGTCAACTGAAAGCCAACATTCATACAACAAACGACGATTTTCTTAACAGCGTGTAAACAAGGGCTAAGACGAGCATGCATTATGTTAACCGATGTTGCCGAATTGGAGCCCCGTTGAGTTGGTGTTGAAGGCATTGGCTGTATTTGGGCTGTGAAGGATCCGGTGGGTGGGGGAAGGGGTGCACTGAAGAGAACGAGCTTTCTATCTGTCGGTACTGGTGCATTTTGGCTGTTTCCCTGTCGCATCAATGGAGGCTTTCTTATGCGGGATGAGAAGGAGATTCATCTTGGAGGCGATATTCACCAACACGCACGATGCGGTTGCATTTATGCATCCAAGACGAGGGAAAACAAGATGAAGACTGCACATCAGGTGAATCTGCCCCGAATTGGGTAATGTGTGCAGTGAATGACTAGTGGGAAGCTAGTTGTGGCTGTAAAGTCATCATGAGGCAGGTGCGAAGGTTATGAAAGCGAGGAGACATGCGATTGCAAGGTAGCTGATGGATGCTGCCGACTTGTAAGAATCAGCGGTTTTGTCTTCCTTGTAGACTACATGGAGGTCTAACACTGATTTGTTGACGCGGAGGGGTGCTTGAGGCTCTGCAACGAGGTCATTTTATTCATCAGTTGCCGTTTGTTGTGGGGGTATATGAGGAAGATGAGGTCTATGCAATAGAGCCTGCAATGATATTGGCCACGTGACGCCACGTCTTTTTGATTCTCAGTGCCATCCAGCTATCCGGATTCCCTTTGTCCAGTGGGAATGTGGGAGGGAGAGGGTACAGTTAGGCACGCAGTATTTATGATGCGGTAGCATGTCAGACGACAGGGCAGGTTGCCGAAATTCGGTGGGTTTTCAATAGCCCCTCAATCGCTTGTCACCTCAGGTTGACCCATCTGTGACCTTTAGATGCAATGCTAAACCAGCCAACTGAGGAACCTTGTTAATTGCCATCGGCTCTGCTTGCCCTTGTCACCATTGTTGTGG